TGCAGTTAAAATATTACCTAAAGATGGCACCTTCTATATTATTAAAAATCAATACACTTGTTTATACATTGCCAGCAGCAGCTCTATAGGGCTCTAGATAAAGTTCCTCTTCTGTATTTTTACCACATGTATCACTTGGCTTCAAGGCGAGGATTGGAGTCACACTTTTCCTGGTTTACGTTAACCTGGTAAGGAAAGGAAGATTTCACTGGCAAGCCAAGTGACTCCAATATTACAGATTCATTTAAAGACCTGGAACAATGGCCTCACTGCCATGTACTCCAAAGACCTCATGGAAGCTGGCATGTAATTGGACATGGTGATGACCACCAAAAGTTAAAGAAGAAAGACATCAAAATGTTGATGCTGGGTTTTTCTGACAGCCAAAGCTCTGACATATCGAGTTAGTGTCAACCTTACCAACAACCTACCACCCCAACCCATTATGGCCTAAATTACTGACCAACAGGAATGTGTAGGAAGTAGGAAGAGGCAGGCAACGGTCAACACTACCAGGAAATGGCCCATTATTCAGGCATTAGAACAGCCATCTGAAATCTACTTCAGATATACGATAGCACCTCTAGGTGCCTGCAGTTTATACCTGGTACCGGTTTCCTAGTTTTTGTATCGTGACAGAGCTGCTTTAATTTTTATCTGCGATTCCCAGGATAGATTTTTGCTAAGTTCCCGAGCCTAAAGTACTCCTTTTGTTTTACTATTTAGTTCTATTTCATCTACACAACACATTAGAGCTACATGTTCATGCATTGACAGAAAATTTGACAATACGTATGTAAACATATCTTTTCCCATGACCACATATCCATCTAGACGGTCCTAAAACTGGCCGGTACCCTGAATCCCTTGGCATGCATATTTCAGAAGAAAAGCCGGGAGCAGTTTGTTTTACGAGTGACTCCACATCCCTCTTTCCGTGAGTTACAAAAACACAGGCAGCCTGCGTTATTAATGTTTACTTGGGTATTAAATATATTGTGCTCTGGGGAGCTATACGTTCCCATACAGCTGTTACAAAGCACTTCCACCTCTGTATCAGAAGCCAAAAATGGAACAGGCAGAAATCATTACTGCTTCTGCCTTTCAATTATTTTAATACAGGGTCACCTTGCTAGTGTCGCAATGCAGTACATAAATGACGAGAGAGGATTGTGGTAGCAGGAGACTCGCAATGTGTGGCAGCAAAGGCGCCTTCTGTTCAACATCTCACAAACCTGTCCACTAGCTATCTTTATAGCTGGAAACTTTCCGTATAAACTGACCCTGAGATTTTTCACCATATGGCGCCACCTTCATTGGATGTATGGATAAGAGTGTTTATTAACAGTGCTCCTCGGTGACTACAGGAGGAAATGTAATCTGGACTTTATATAAGACAGTTATCTTGGTGTTTAATAAAAGACCACAAA